ACAGGAGTCGCACCACAGGAATCGCTCACTGGAGCTTTTACGGCCTCGTTTGAAAATCTACATTTAAAGTAACAGGAGGCCCATAAAACGACTCTCTTAAAAACGTACGCTTGTGGTTCTGCCACGATTGAGAAGTCTAAATTGAGAGTTTAAGTCTTGTGAGTGTTGTTGGACCAAAGAATAAATTGTAACTGGTTTATTTATGGGCCAAATGCTTTGGAAACAAAACTGGAGAATAGACACAACTGAAAAAGAGAGAAATCCTAAAAAAAAAAGCGGGGGTTCATTTTCAGGCAAATTGTCTTATGCTTATGTTCTTCTTTAGGAGAAAGAGAAGCCTGGAAAGTGGACCCTTCCGCGTTGGTGGGGGTCCCTCGGCAGAGGCGGAGCCACCCCAGGGGCCGCTCCCGCGTGAACCAGGCTGGTCACAACCGCTCACGTGCCCCAAGTGCCCCAGCTCTCTGCCACGGCACAGAACACCCTATCCTCGCCTTTTTCATTCTGTGTTCCTGGGAAACAAAAAACCCAAATACTACTCCAGTGTGGAACCCCAAACTGCCACCAGGACTTCTGAACGGTGGTTTGGATGGAGCTGGCGAGCAAATGCCCGACAGAAATGCGTAAAGGTCAGAGTGTCACACTCAGGCTGTGGCTTCCGTCCTGCGCATGGACGGACTCCAGAAACGTCGCTGCTTTGGAGGGCAAGGCCAGGTGGAGCGCCTGCCACCTGACTGTTCACCACGGGGGCTGGCCCTCGCCGACCGGGCCCTGAGTCTCTCCCTGCGGCTGCTGGAGAGCCGTGTGTGAATCCCGCGTGCAGCCCCAGCCCCTGGGAACCCGCAGAGCCCGCGTGCCTCTGGGAGAAGGACGCGGCTTCTCCAGCAGGCCGTCACGGGGCCCGAGGTCCTGCTGGCGTTCCCAGGAAGTGGGCCCTGCCCCCGACCCGAAGCCGCCCCGGCCTCCCGCCTCTGCTCGCCGAGCGGCGTGCGGAAGGAAGGCTTTCACGTCGAGGCCACTTCAAATCCACGGCGTCTCATTTTCTAACTTAGTTTTTTGCTACTGTTTCCATTTCTGCAAATTCAGACCTGAGCCACAGAGGGAAGACCCGGGCCCTGTGCCACCTGCCGTCACCGCAGCCCGCCGCCGAGTCCGCGACACCGCCTCACACACCAGAAACGTCCCTCAGAGCAGCTCACTGACCACATGTCAGCAGGGTGGGCGAGGAGGATGAAAGAGGCTGAGACGTCCAACAGCAGAAGGAGCTATGACTTCAGCAGGGGCAGCACGCCCGCTCCAGGGGCTCCTGTGGGCTGAGCCGGCGGGGGGCGGGGGGCGGGGGCTCAGATACCCGACGACGCACAGGCCCTCCGCCCCGCCCCCGCCCTAGGTCCGCCCTGGGGGAGGCGGCCCCCTCCCCCACCCAGGCGGTTTGCAGGTATTCTCCAGAAACTTCCTCTGCCCAGAACGAGCATGGGCTTTGACCCTGCCTGGTTTGGCAAGTTCTTCAAAAACCCCGATCATGCGGACCATTACAACGGGGGGTTGGCAAAGGATCAGATCACTGGTGCCAAGTCAAGTCCCGCAGGCTTTCCAAGAGCATCCCAAGGTAAGGCCCACACCACCCGCGACACCTGCGAATCCCTCCCATCAGCCCCGTCAAAAGGGCGCCAGTTTGAACCCATCCCCAAAACTCCCTCGGAATTCGGGTGGAGGCTGGGAGCTCAGGGTCAGGCCTTTACCTGCATTAAACAGTCTCCCAAGGACTAACTTGGCGCAGACCACGTCCGCATCACCGCTCTCGTCAGAGGGTGCGTCCTAGGTCCCAGGGCGCCAAGGTCAGCTGATAGAGTCACCCAGCCTCTCACGAGGACACGGCGCTTTGTCTTTGCTCCCACAGCAAGAAACAGCCAGGCCCGGCCTGCGTCCTGCCTGTGGACTAGAAGCTCCAGCCACTCGGACAGAGCAATGAGCGCTCTGTCCACTTTCCTGACGGCGGACAGACGCCCAGCACAGACCACGTGTGTGTTCTGGCTGCGGGGAGAAGGCCCAGCGCCCCCCACTTTCCATGATCACCTTCCGGGCGCGGCCATGCAGCCTCTGGGCCTGGGGGCCGTACTGCAGGGAAGCCTGAGCCAGCAGGAGGCTGGGTGCTCCCCACTGGCCTCCCTCAGCCTCAGGAAAGGCCGCTTCCGGGGCTGCTGGCCATCCCCGCCCACACCAGCTCTGGAGCACACACGGGGGGGACGTGTTATGGCCACTTGCGTAAGGGGTCCACGGCTAGCAGCTCGAGGCTTCCGCTGGGACCTGCTGAGCAGCACCGGACTGGCATGGGCGTGTGCGCGGGGCGACGTATGCACGCTCACATAAACACATCATCCCCTTCCGACCGAGCCTTCTCCTGCACGTGCCTTAACCACGATCCGGGTTCGGACCAAAAAATAAAAATAACAAACAACAATAAGCATCTCTCGTAAATGCTCTCATGAGCTAACACTGAAAACCTCTGTTCACACCTGGTCTGGGATTACAGGGCCTTCTTGGAAACAGGGCCCATAATTCCAGCCCCAAATCGAGGCGGAGAGAACCTCTTTGCACGCAGGCTCCCTGGGCCTCAGAACCTATGCCCGGGGGGCCCCAGGACCACAAGCATGGCCGGGAAACGCCGGCGGCCCCGCGGCGGCTGCCAGCTCAGGGGGCGCTGAGGCTCGGAGCAGGAGGTGAGGAGACACCAGTGGTCTGGAAACAAGACCGCGCTCCCGGGGAGCCTGAGGCGGAACGTCGGGGGGCGCAGAGGAGGGCAGAGCTGTTGGAAAGTGAGCTCACGACGTGGGTGGAGGCGTGGGACCCTCCAGTCAGAGTGCAGCATACAGTGAACGCGGGTGTTCACCACCTCGGTGGCAGGAGCACCAGGGTGGGTGTCGGCAGGTGCCCGGGCGGAGTAAGAGCCGGGAGCCAGCGGGGAGGTGGTGCTCCTTGCAGAGAGCAGCCCTGGAGCCCTGCTCCTCAAGCCAGCACGGGATGCTACACCGCGAGGCTGACGGCCGCACCCCTGCAGGCGAGAGGCCATGCTGTGGGCTGTGCGGCCAGTGCCCCACTGGACCGAAGGGGCCCAGAGACTCGCGGGGGCCCTGGCACCTTCTCGAGGGCAGATCCAGCAGCTGGGGACGCACCCGGGCCGGACACCCCATCACACGCACCGCGTGCGCCTCTCCCACCCTCGCAAGGCTGCCTCTTAGCACAACACACATGGGGCAGCAAGACAGACCAGAAGGCCTGCCGGGCCGGTCACCCAGGCTCGCCGGAAAGCGCCGCAGGCTTGGCCGGGACCAGGAGAGGAGCGGCGCACACGCTCCTTGGGCCCGCCCAGCCGCTCGCGGGGCTGCCCCACAAGCCCCGGGGACAAAGCTGAGCTCGCGGAGGGGCCGGGCAGGGAGCACGGCCGCTGTGGGCCTGACCTCAGGGGACGGAATCCAAAACAGAAGCTGAAGCTGCTGAGGTCAGCTGTGCACCCCGAGTGTGGTCCAGGAAGCTGCTGAGCTCTGGGGTGTCCCTGAAGGCCTGTCGGGGGTGGGCGGGAACCCACAACACAGGTTCCAAGCACGTCTCCAGGCTCAAGGGTTGACCATCCATGGAACAAAAATATCCGAGAGCTTGCAGCCCCCAGTTAGGGACAGAGAAGCCCGGGACCGGCCCCGTTTTCACCCCCATGGATGGGAGTGTGAGAAACCCCGAGCACGGGAGCCCTTGTCCAGCCTGGGTCACTGAGCCGAGGGCGATCGCTAGTGGCCAGACGCTGCGGCCGGGAAGGCTTCCATGTCTCCTGGCCACCCCGACCCGCAGCTTGTGGGGACGGGCCCGTACGTGCCGCCCCCTTCTGAAACAGCCGCTTCGGGAGCGAACGCTCTTCCGAAAACACTCCTCACAACACCAGGGCCCCAGGGAAGCCCGCAGAACTCAAGCAGCGGAAATGCGATGTTTACGGAGACAGCCGTAATGGGAGAAACGAGCCTTCAACGCTAAAGGAGGCTGCAAGGCCCCGACCCCAGAGGGTGTTTCAGGGAGGCTGGGGGCCGTGTGTCCAGCACTGTCCTGGGCTCTCACCCCCACCTGAGTCCAGCCGCAGGGGAGATGGGCATCCGGCCCTGGAAAAGCTCACCCCGGAGAGACGGGCAGCGCCAATGAGGGGGCCCCGGCACCTTGCACACGGTCCACGTGGGCCCCATGAAGGCGCGGACTGGGCTGGCCGTCCTGGGCAGCTCAGGGGGCCTCTGGTCACAGCGCTGATCCGCGAGTGCTCAGGTGACCAGCGTGCGAGAGGGCCGCCCGTCTCCACGCAGCTCAGGCGGCACCTGGTCCCACAGGCGGGCACAACTCTGTGGGGTCAGTGTGCCAAGAACAACGGGCTGTCATCAGCTGATGTTTTACGGACTCGGACGCCTACACCACGCGGCCTGCCTGCAGGTGTGTGGAGAGCGCTCCTGCCGGACCATCCTGACCGTGCGTGTTCGGCTGCGTTTCTGCACCGAGCGTGCCTGTGCGCTCTGGGGGTGAGTCCCACACGGTGGGATTTAAGTCCCAGTTCGGGGCCGTCCTGTGGCTTACTCTCCTTCCCCGGGGCGCCGGACGGGCGTCACAGCGCCGCATGGAGGGAAACGTTAACCACCTTCAGCTAAGCCACTATTTACAAATCATTCACTCAACCGGCGAAGCTCTTACGACGCTCGGAAACAGGCAAGCCGGACCCGGAGCCACGTGCCAGGACGGCCTCCTCTAAGAGACCCTGTTGGCTCGTGTGGGGCGATGCTCCTTGCAGCGTTGGTCCCGCGGGTCTACAGCCCCAGGCTCCGCGGGACCTCCGGCCGAGGCGACGGGGCAGAGCCACACTGCCAAGAGCTGCTGGGCGCGCCCCTCCGCCAGGTGGCTAATGCGCACACCCCTCCTCGTCACGCTCGCAGACACGGTGCCAGGCTGCGTGTGCACCTAAGGCCACAGGCACTTACCGTCGTCCAGGTACAGCTGGTCCAGCTCCTGAGGCTCTCGCTTGACCGTTACGGGAATGGGGGCCAGACTATGATTACTGTCCTCATGCACCTCGGGCAGCAGCAGAGGCCGGGGGGCTGCGGACTCGCTCCTCGGAGCCTTCGGCAGTCGGTGCTGCTGGCGGCCCATCTCGGATGGGTGGGTGGGGCTGCAGGACTGCAAACAGGTCGGCTCTTGGGTACCGGACGATGGTGAGGAGGAGGGGCTGTTGGGACAGAGAGCTGGCTGGTGGCCCGGGGGACAGCTGCGGCTCAGCTGTGGACTCACCTGTGGTCGCAGCAGGGCGGGAGGCGGCTGCTGGGGGGGGCCGGGGTGCACGCCCACGGGTCTCGGCGTCTCCGGAACGGTGAGGACCCCTCCGGCCGGCCGCTGAAGTCCGAGGTGACCGTGGCCCTGGCTGGCCATGCCCTTGCTGTAGGTGGCGGAGGAGAGGTCGTGGAGCTTCGGGCTGGTGCTGGGGGGCGGTGACACCATGGTGCTCCTCTGTGGACAGGGTGGGAAGCCAGCCACCAGGCAGGAGCCCGGGTCAGGCGGCATCACCAGCTGCTGGCTGTAGCACGGCTTGGGGAGTGGGCTCGGGCCCTGGCTCATTGGTCCACAGGTCAGGGCAGGCTCGTAATCATCGGTGGGCTCTGTTTTTATGGCAGGAGCTGCAAGAAGCAAAGAAGTTGAATAAACACAGGCTGCAGATGGGCGTGATGGACGGGGTGGGCTGTGGCCAGGGCACCCTCGGAAAACAAACAGCGTCCTGACTGAGTCCCCGTGTGTCTCCGCCTGGTTCTCCCACCCAATTAAGAGGAGGGCGTGAGTCACCGTCTCCAGGAAGCTGCAGCTGGTTCTAATACTGAGAACACTGTTTTCCTTGGAATCCCCCCCAGCACTAATGTGCTATAAAAATCCATTTGCAAACTGCAGTAGAAGCTTTGGACCCAAGGGCCCATGGATTTGTAGTAATCAAAGCAAAAATTTTAACTTGGATGTACGACCGCGTTTCTCCTGCTACTGACGCCCTATCTGATAAACGTCTGCACATTCGGGGATCTCGAGCACGCCCCAAGATGGCGCGGAGATGTCCATAAAACCCGGGAGAAACAGTACTCGGCCATCGCGGTGGGGGGAAAACACGCCCACCTGGGCTCCCTGTTGCGTCTGCTCCTCACAGAGGAGCTGCTTACGACAGGCCGCCCCAGCTGCGCAGCCCCGGGCCTCCTCCTGTCCGCCCTCCCCGGGAAGCGGGGCTACAAGGCAGACGGCAGTAGAGGGCCCGTCCGACCCTCCACCAGCGGCCCCGCTTCGAAGGGAACATCGGTCGGACTACTGGCGGGCGTGCGGGGGGGGGTTTTCGCAGGACCCGCGGTCTCCCCGGGCGTCTCCTGCCCTCGCGCATCTTGGGGCCCCGTCTGCTCGCCTGTGGACGGAAGTCCGCTCCGAGTCACTGTTCCCAGCACACGGGGACGCCACACCGGGCACCGCGCCGAAGGTCTCGTGGGTAACGGCTTGTCTGGAGAACCCCCCACCCTGCTGCTTCCTGTGGCGCGGACGGGTGCGTGGCGGCCTGGGGGCCTCCTACGTGGGGCCCCAGGCTTCACCTTAAATAAAGCAAAGCCCGTCTACGCCATGACCTCTGCCGGCAGCCACGAACAAGGACCAGGGGCGCTTCCTACACAGGAGGTCTGCGCGGAGCCAGCGTTCCCTCACGTCCAGCTCGAGGGCGGCGCCCGGGCTCGGTGACCAGCAGGCCCCTGGGTGTCTAAGTCCCCCAGAATCACCAAGTCCTAGCACCCAGCTCCTGGGGCTCTCCACAGGATCGTTCTCCTTTGCTCTGCCTTTGTGGGGGCAGGTGAGCCCCATGGGGAGCAGCAGAGCTGGTCTTCACACCAGGCACCTCGGGTGTGGGCTGGTCTGCATCCGCCGCGTGGCCCCCACAGGGTCCGCTCATTGCCAGGAGGGGCCCGGGCACCCACACCACTCTCGTGCTCCTTCGCTGGGAAAGGGGTCTCTCTCTCTTTCCCGGGACTGGGGGGTCAGGGCTCTGGTTGAGGGCGAGTCCCAGCAGAGGGCTGTCCAGAGAGAAATCCCGTTGGCTGCAGAAGGGACCTGAGAAGAGCTCGCTGTTCCCTGGGTGGCGTTTTATCACCATGCGTCCATCATGCATGCTCTGCATCAGCTGATTTGGGTCTCGGGGAAGAGCCGGGGCCACCGAGGACCCATGTGCGTGTCCAAAACAGCTAGTCTTGCTCCTTACGGAGGCCGCAGCGACCCCAGGCCCCAGCGGAGGGCACGCACCTGGCTCAGGGCAGCAGGGCACCGGGGACTACGGAGACTCCCAGGCTGCGCCCCACCTGGGGGGCAGTGTGTCCCTGGGCTCCGACGTCCGCGTGCAGAAACGCTGTGGCCGTGTCAGGCGGCCCCCAGAAAGCCCCCGTGCTCCCAGGGACTTTCTTCCAACTTCCAATCCACCCAGCAGTGACCAACGCGGACCCTAGAGCTGCCACAGCCCGCACGTTTCTGCTGTGAAGCCCCCATCCCAGGCCGTGGCCTCCAGCTGGGCTGCCCTCCTCGGCGAGGCTCTGCCAGGTGGGCCCCGTGCTCTGTATCCACAGACAGGTGGAGCGCAGAGCTGGACATCCCCATGTTGAGCTGAGCGCAGAGCTGGGACCTGCTCATCTTACACGAGAGATGCAGCCGTGCAGCAGCCGGAGGTGTCCCCCCACCCCGGGGTGACCGTCCCTGCCTGTTGCCAGCACGTTGAAAATCCAGAAACAGCAGAGGGGACGAAGTCAGCCCCTAAGAGGCAGACGGGCCTGCACCTTCTGACGGGGCCCCAAGGACCCCCGGCCCCCACACATCCCCCATTCATGAGACGCTAGGGCAAAGTGCGGGCAAATGGAATGGTGAACGTTAACTTCTAAATTAGTTTGGTAATTTTCAGTTTGTGATTTTAGGGATATATATACGTCTGGCAGATTAAACTGAAACCCTTCTGGGATTCCGTCTTCGCTGCGCTGGATTTCCAGCCAGGCACGGGGGCCAACTCGTCTCTCTCATAAGGTGTCCCCTGAGCTCTTTAAAAACTAAAAAAAAAAAAAAAAAAAATGGGCGCCTGGGTGGCTCAGTCGTTGAGCATCTGCCTTCGGCTCAGGTCATGATCCTTGGGTCCTGGGATCGAGCCCTGCGTCGGGCTCCCTGCTCGGCGGGAAGCCTGCTTCTCCCTCTCCCACCAACCCTGCTTATGTTCCCTCTCTCGCTGTGTCTCTCTCTGTCAAATAAATAAAATCTTAAAAAAACAAACAAACAAACTCCTACCCGTCCACACGCATGCACGGCCAGGAAACGCCCGCACGGGGGATTTACCTGGCACGCAGCGATGGTGCGCCCAGCGAGCGGCCAGAACCAGCGGTCCCAGGCGGCGGGTCAGAGGCTGCCCGCCCTCGCTGGGCAGGAGTGAGCAGGCGTAGGCCCCCTCGTGCACGCCCTGCGGCCTCTGTTGTTTACGACGTGTTTAAAGCTGCCCAGTGGCACCAGCATGAACTCCCACGTCACGGGGCTCCCTAGGACCCTTTCTGGGAAAGTCCCCACAGCACAATCTCGCAGAGCCTCTGTGTGGGCCCACACCCGCCACCGAAGGGAGGACACAGGACACGCGTCCCCTTCCGACGGCCGGTGTGGGGGCACGGTGCCCAGTCGTGGCAGAGCCGACGCCGTGAGGCTGGACCCCAGCCCGCCCAGACCCCCGGGTGCCGCTGAGCTGGGCCTTCTCCGAGCAGATGTCCCCACGAGGTGGGCCAGACCTCTGCCTGCAACCCTGGGACAGTCGCCCTCGGGGAATAAACGCGGGGGCCCTTAACTGACATAGTGACCACTCTGCAGCTCGGGGGCCCCCCAGGGCGGCAGGTCGTGAGGCACAGAGAAGACAGGCCCCGGTGACTCAGGGCCAGGTGCTGGGGTCACAGGACGAGCCAGCTGACTGCAGGCAAAGGGCAACACACACAGGAGCGCCAGGGCCTGGGACACGGGCTAGCCTGGAAAACAGCGTCCGCTGCCCCCGTGGCCCCCACAGAAGCTCAAAGGCACGAACACGCGGCGTTTAAATTGGATTTCTCGTGTGGACTTCAAAGGGAACGAGCAGCATCTGTGTAAATCAGAACCAGCGAGAACATGTCTGTTTCTTATTAGCGAGGGAAGAAGGAGGCCGCGTCTTGCGCGGGACTCGGGCGGCGCGGTGGGGCCTCGTCCACGGCCCAGAGCAGCTTCCTTCCAGACCTGGGGCTTGGTGTGACGCAATGTCTGGTTCCCTCCCGGCCATCCACCGCGCTGGCCTGGGCGGGAGGGATGGTGACAGGAGCCCACGCCCCTGCGCCAGCCGCGAGTTTATAATCCAGATTTATTACAGCACGCAAACGTGTGAAAGATTAACGCTAATCTTGAAGGCGACTGCCGCGTACAAAGCCTGTTCTCATGGAAAAGGTGGGGTGCCCTCCGTGCCGAGCTGGTGTTCGCCCTGAACGGCTCGCGCTTGGCACAGCGGCTGTGTTCTGTGGAGACAGCATGTGTGGAGGAGGCTGGGAGGTGTCCCCTCAGCTCCCAAAGCTACGCGTCCCGTCCTCGGTCAAAGGGCAGCTGACCCAGGGAAGGGCCTGGTCCCTCAGCAGGGACCCCAGGCCCCCGGAGCCGAGCCGCCTGCAGACGACGTGGCAGCAGAAGCCTGTCCCCGAGGATCCCCACGCCACCCACAGCCCCTACGATGGCCGTCTGTGGGCCAGAGGGCATTCCAGAACACCCTGGCCCGGCTCGAAGAAACCCCACATCTGGCGCATGGGCTCCACCCCCCACGGCAGTGGCTTCCCATTCCCGTGAGCAAAGCAGAGCCCCTCTTGGGAGCCCCAGCCGAGGTCGGGGGGCTCACGGCAGGGCCGGCTGCCTTTCTGAATCGCACTGACTTGGGTTCAGGGGCCTCGCGGTTCACAGATTTGGGCTGTGCAGCTGCCTCAAGGTGATCAAGCAGTGTGTGCTTTGCTCTGCAGGGCTCCAGGCCCGGGGCGGACACCCCACCCCACCCCATTTGCACGTCCCTTGCAACTGAGTGCATGCAGCACACACACCCGGCCGGGCTCAGTCTCCCCAGGATGGCCCGGCCTTCGGGTTAGCAGCTGCCTCTCACACAGGGATGCCATGCAGGTGGTGAATGGCACCACTGGCTATTTTCACAGGGGAGTGGGACGGAGCCAGCCAGAGGCCCTGGGCTGATGGCGACGCAGCCCCAGGCCTGTAGTGGGACCCAGGAGCAGGGCCTTGACCCCAGGACCCTGCCTGGATGCAGACGGCCGTGGTGGCCAGGACCAGCTCCCACAGGTGGCCCAGAACGAGGTGACGGGATTCCTGCCTGGGGGTGCTCACACCGTCCCAAGACCTGTGGGCTGTTACAGATGCATGTGACCACCATCCCCACGCACACCGGTGGACACCGCCCCCTCTTACATGCGTCTATCCCTCCTGTGTCTTCCCCGTGTCCTGCCCGTTGTCAGACACATCCTGTCCTTTGCTGAAGGGCCAAGTTGAGCAATTCAATTTCGACATGCTGTTTGGGCCAACCCTCCAGCCCAGCGGTGGCCCAAGGCCTGAGGTGAGCGAAGACAAGCGTTCTTCCATT